ACATCTGTTGGTGAGCGGCGGGCCCTCGCTGTCGCCCGAACTGTGGCGCGTCGCGGCGTCCAGCGTGTGGCGCGCGACGAGGGCCACCTTGCTGGCCGCCCAGCAGCTGATGGTGTGCTTCCACGCCGGCTCGGAGAACTTCTACGGCGACGTCGGGCAGGCCAAGGTGGCCGTCCGCCGGGACTGCACCTGCCAGGAGGCCGACCGCCTCAGGCAGCTCTGCCGACAGGTCAGCGAAGCTTCAATTCGCGCTAGTTGGTATACAGCGTTGTAATGTAGTCGCTCCGAGCGAAATGCACGAATAAGGAAACGGGGGGACACGACACGGGGTGCGCAGACAGTCCCGTTATTATTCACAGTCCCGTTATTCGTTCCGTACACAGTCCCGTTATTCGTTCGTGCATTTCGCCCCCAGCGCCGCTGCAGGTCGGGATAGCTCATGCCGCGTTAATCATGTTCTCGTTCGCACATATGCCTTCGGTTTATGATCGATAGCTTGCTAGTAGTCACACTTTACAAGCGGCGGGAATACCAGTTTTGATATAGGAAAGATACGCCTGACTGGTGTTTTCTGGCCACCGCTTATGAATCTCATCTCGCAGTGTATGTGTCGTTTTGTGAGGCATGAGATTAATTAACTCTCAGATCTATAAATAATGCAGAATCCACGGATCTTTGACGAAAAACAAAGAGTGTCCCGCATGTAATGCTCCCATCTGTTCATGTCTCGTTCCCCCTATAAATCCCGGCTGCTGATTCGAAGGTCGTGGGTACGATCTCGGCCCCGGTGGTCACATTTCGATGGAGGTGAACGGTTAAAAGCCCGTGTACTGTGCGAAGTCAACGCACGTGAAAAAGAACTCCAGACGGCCGAAAGTTTCAAAGCCCTCCACTGCGGCGCGCCTCTGAATTATATCGTGGTATTGGCATGTGAAACCCCGAGATATTATTACCGTCCCCGGTTTTTTTGTGTGTTTTTACTATAAAGGGGTCTCTGAAGAGTTGCGCCACGCAGTCTTCACCCACCGCAGAGAGGGCACGACGATTCCAGAGATCGCGAAAATCGCCCGGTTGCAGCGTGTTCAAGGCGATGGTGTCGTCAAGTCGTTTTCCGGAAACAGCATCAGCAACCGGCAGTGAAGCAGAAATCAATAGAATTACTCGAACATCCTTTCGAAAGGCATAGCCCCGCCGCGGTGGTCTAGTGGCTAAGGTACTCAACTGCTGACCCGCAGGTCGCGGTTTCGAATCCCGGCTGCGGCGGCTGCATTTCCGATGGAGGCTGAAATGTAGACCCGTGTGCTCAGATTTGAGGGCACGTTAAAGAACCCCAGGTGGTCGAAATTTCCGGAGCCCTCCACTACGGCGTCTCTCATAATCATATGGTGGTTTTGGGACGTTAAACCCCACATATCAATAATTTCGAAAGGCATCGGACGAGGCTGTCTCAGAACACGTCATGTCTATTTTGGAAATTTTGCGGAGTCCTCAGGCTTTTATAAGCGCCCAAGGGGGACATTGTGGAGCCAAAAGACGAGTTATTATAATGAATTGAAGAACTTTTCGAACAGGTTATTAATCGTGTCTCACTTGGTTCCTTCGGTAAAGAGTTACGATTTTTTTTCGCGTTAGTTTTTTTTTTTTTTTTTTTTGGTCACCCTGCAAACTTTCTTCGGACTTGCAGTTGGTACTGGGCATCCGTTAGGGTACCGGGTCGTTTTTCGTCGTTTCGATTTGTCGTCGCCCACGGGGCTTCGGGAAGTTCGCGCATCGTGGGACTTCGTGTTCTCGCCGCAGGTTTTCCTTCTGGACGCCCAGCGTGCCACCTTGCACGTTGCCTCGTGCCGCGTGGAGTCTGCGCCGACCGCGGTCGACCAGGAATGCTCCTTCATATTCCTTCTACACCCGCCTGACAAGGATTCCATACCGTCTACGTCACCGCACCCCAGCAGCTACGTCGTACGGTGAGTTTATCCTTAACTGGGGTTCTTTATGTCTAAAAATGTTCATTTCCTGCGTAAGCACTATTAAACATTTATTAAAGAGGCACTGAAGAGCGAAACGACAATTTAGGTATCGGTGAATTACAATTTCACATTCTCGAAAACTCCGCTCTTAACGCGACGCGATGCTTGGTAAGCAAGAAAACGCGCTTGACGAAAATACGGGTAGACACGTCACCTTGCACGCTACGGTGGTCTAGTGGCTAAGGCACTCGGCTGCTGACCCGCAGGTCGCGGGATCGAATCCCGGCCGCGTTTTCGATGGAGGCCAAAGTGCTTGACGCCCGTGTGCTTAGATTTTGGGGCTTGTTACAGAACGCCAGGTGGTCGAAATTTCTGGAGCCCTCCACTACGACGTCTCTCGTCGTGATATGGTGGTTTTGGGACGTTAAACCCTAGCAGTTATTATGACACGCCACCTTGAAATTCCCGCACCGAATATCGTGACCTCAGATTTTAAATGTGTCCACTGGGTTCTGCGTAGCTTCTATTCGCTAAAAATGAAGTAGGTTGTCCTCTGTGGGTGTCATAAACCTAGCATACGAAGTTTCAGAATATCTCATGGAGACTATGTCGTGAAAACACGAAAAGTACGATTTTAAATTTCTGACGCCACGCGCAGATATTTCGGCGCGAAATTTAAATGTAAAACTTCAACCTTGATTTTCTCCGCTAATCATGAACTTATGAGAGTGAAACATGGAGCATCGGATTTTTTCAGAGGTCAGTTTGCCATTCTAAACTAAGTCATTGTTTCTTTTTAGTGTCTCTTTAACAGCGTAGTCGTGTGTCACGCAAGTCAAGTGACCAGATGGGGTAAGTGAATCAGTAAATAAAACTAAAATATGCTCAAAATTATGACGATGATGATGACGATGCGAAGTGATTATGGTGAGATCATTGAGATGATCATGACACTAAATGATGGTGGTCATTATTTATATGATGATTGGGGTGCTGAATGATTACGATGGTGATGATGATGATTGATGGTACTTGTAACGATACTACGCCGTCTTAAGTTTATCCTCGTATATGCTCGCATGCTTACTGTTTTATAATGGAATAATTGCAAGCGCAAACCAACGGGACACAAGAGAAGAGACAAACAAGCGCAGACTGGAACTCAGTCTATTCAGAGAAGAAGTTTGCACGTGAGAACCCTACTGCTTACTGTTTCGCTGCCCTGCGGTTTCCTCGGCGTGGACCTGGCTGAGATTTTTTCTATCTATTGACAAGTTTGTATTCCTTGCTCCGTGCTCGCCTCATTGCGTTCATAAAAGTCGAAGAAATGTCATTCTGATCGGAGAAGGGTAACCTTTCTTTTCGCAATTTTCGAAAAAGAAAATATTCGGTCGTAAGACATCATGTTGGGCTTTAGCGATGGCAAACGCTGCTAAAAATTTGTAAAGAATTGGTGGGCTTTCATTTCGTGCGTGTGTGTCCCTCACTGAATAGTAAAGGTTGTGTAGCTTTCGTTGTGTGCTTACGGAGTTGTCGACTTTTGAAGATCGCGGTAATTTTTAAATGTATTTTTCTGTTTTGAAATTTCAGTCTGTTGCCTTTCATAGCGGAACGTAATTTTTGCCCCGAAAATTTACTTCCCGGCAATTTTGAGGTTTGCCCTCCCTGTAGAGAATACTTTACCGCGTGAAAGCTGGCAATGCGGGAAAGACGTACGCAACGGTGTGGCCCGCTTCTTCTTCTTTTTTTTTTTTTGTTAGTCTTTCTTAGGGACTTTCGACGCAAAAAATTTGGCCTATCTGTCTGTCCATTTGTCTGTTTGTCCACTCTTAACGGTACCGGGCATTTTAAACGACACCAGTGGATATTCCAAACGGCCGACCCCCATCCGCAGCGCCCACCAATGTTGCTCAAGATTCAGCGTTCTTACTTGTGCGATTGTTAAAAAGCAATTATCGCGCATATCTGAGGCACTATAACAACACGTATATATTCTGTATGTGCGTTTTTTACTAGAAAAGACATACATAAATGATTCTAGGGACCGTAGCGTTTATCACGCGGCGCTGACCACGCAACGCTTGCACGAAAAGGCGAGTGTTTCCAACGCTTTGCTAAGACGACACGGTACCCGCCGCCTTGCGTTCTACACCTTATCTCCTCTGAGACGGGCGCGCACGCCCGTCTCAGAGCCTCGCGTTCTGTTTACTAAGATAACTGCCAGATAGCACTCATGTTTCGCGTGTGAGGTGACTTGGTGCGCTCGTTCGCCTCCGCGCCCCGCCGCGGTGGTCTAGTGGCTAAGGTACTCGCCTGCTGACCCGCAGATCGCGGGATCGAATCCCGGCTGCGGCGGCTGCATTTCCGATGGAGGCGGAAATATTGTAGGCCCGTGTGCTCAGATTTGGGTGCACGTTAAAGAACCCCAGGTGGTCGAAATTTCCGGAGCCCTTCACTACGGCGTCTCTCATAATGATATGGTGGTTTTGGGACGTTAAACCTCACAAATCAATCAATCATCATTGAAATTTAAATGTAACAACCGTGACAAAAACACAACCCACTGATGTCAATACTGGACGAACTTTATTTGAAATATATTCGTTTCAGTTCGAATATAATTACAGGTAAACGTTGACGATCTCACTAATGGGATGAAAATGGTTGGCAGGCAGACACGGACCGGACAAACAAGGGCACACGTAGAAAATAAGCACTATTCCGGGGCTGTTGTATGTTTTCTTTTCTTTTTATCCTTCTGATACAGGGGGGTGGGGGGGGGTCTTTTTTTTCTTTCTTTCTCTTACTGCTGCTGTTGCTGTAGAGAGATTTCACAAAAATGTGTTCACTGTCGCAACGAATTGGCTTGGTTACTGTCTTTTTTTCGGGCTGTAAAAGGTACTCATTAGCGGAGATTAACATCGGGCTCATCAAGACCATTCCGCGTTGTTGGAGCTCGTCGGCACGGCCCTTGCGTTCTGCCATTATCCCGAATAGCGGGAGTAGAAGAGTGAATGAACGACATTTGTGGAACTCCCCACGCCCCGTTGCCACTGTTTTGTTGTCTTTAGTGTTTTCAGTAAATAGCCGTTGTTTACATTTGAAGGCTGTTCGAGGCAAACAAAACAGCTATCTACTTCCTGAGCTCTCTCGTGCCCCGTGTTTGTTCTTTGCGGTCGGCTGTTTGTCAAGTTTATTCCTGAATTTCCGAGCCGGCGTAATCAACGCCTTCTTTCGAAACCTTTTCTACCGGCTGGTTTTTTGCTTGGTGTACCTTGACGGCTTCTGATTTTTTTTTTTGTAACTATCTCGCAAGTACAATGAGCTGTTCGATTAGCCTCTAATGTGGGTTTAACGATGCGTCGATGGCTTTGAGGGAAGAAGCAAACGCGCGAAGCTGAAGTAGGGAAAAAAAAGCGAGAGAGCATAAAAAAAGGGAAGGGGTGATAGGATTGCTTGGGCAGCGATACATTTGTATCGGAAAATGGCGAGAAACGAACCGTCGCTGCCTGCCTCCGCAGAATCCGTGACGGTGTAGCGCTCGTATCTGTCTCTCGCCTCGTCTGCGCCGTGTACCCAAGAGAACGTGTCCCTGTTTTTGGCGTTGCTATTGAGAGTCGGGAGCTTAATGGGTACGGAAGGGTGAGCGGAGGGAGAAAATTGGGAAGCAGGTAATTTTGGTTATCTTTGTGCCTAACAAATTGTTTTGAGTATGAAAGAAGGGTAATCGACCCGCAGGTCGCGGGATCGAGTCCCAGCCGTGGCGGCCGCATTTTCGATGGAAGCGAAAATGCTTGAGGCCACGTTAGTTGCCCGTTAAAGAAAGAACTCCAGGTGGTTGAACTTTCCTGAGCCCTCCACTGCTGCGTCTCGCGTAATCATATCTTGGTGTTGGGGCGTAAGAACCGCTGATAATAATATTACTATTAACGCCGACACCTTCTACGAGGCTTAACTCTCCTCGCACCTCAGCCTAGTGGGAACCCCTGTGCAGTGATGTTCCGTGCAGTGAGTTTTCCCTTTTTTTCGGGAAATTTTCGCCTGTCATTTTGAGCCAAAGGAAAAAAAAGGGAATCTTTGTAATACTGCAGGGAATTTCAGGAACGTTTCTATGACAACCGATAATTAGCGGTCACAGTGCGCCTTCATCTGCTGTAATCGGTTCTGGCGCATGCGCCACGCAAGCATAGCCATTGAGATTTGTTTCTTATAATTACGCGGGGCGATTTCTATAGTTCACTATTGGTGTTACACTTGAAGCCCACAATGTGCAGTGTTCTAAGAGTATAGGAATTAGTACAGTCACGCTTTAATTGTGTTGCGCGGCAGTGGAGGAGCAAGGTAGGATTTGCCAGTACGTGAGACACGTGTAATTGTAATATGTGTGCGCTTGGATGGGGGCCGAAATTACTACTGTTGTGCACAGGGAAATATGCTGGGAATTTCGTCAACCTTTGCAGGCGAAAATTCCCGAAATCGGGAGTTTTAATGTATCTGAATGGGAATTCTTCGACGTAGAATGGAACACCACTGCCCCTGTGCACGCCTGAAGGCCGAATAGTAATGCGCTCCTTTGTGGTCGCTTGCGGCTGTCTCTCGCGCACTAATACTAAATACTTTTTGCGTTCTTTTTTTTGTCCGTTGTTCTTTCTTGTCGTCGTAGGGTTCCGTTCCAGCAGCTGGTGGTGGGGCTCCTGTCTCACCAGATTCTGCTGCAAACGCTGGCCACGCTGTTGCTCGAAAGCACGCGGTTCCGTCTGCCGGCGCTCGCCAGCGTGCTCGCTTGCCCCGCGTCTCCTGCCCGCAGCAAGCAACGACCCGGCCAGTACCGCCTTGCCGGTGAGTCCCCTTGTTTAGCGGGATAACTTCCGTGCGATTTCTCGTTACGTAGTTCATGGCTACTATTCGCGAAGCGAGGTTAATGTTCGGTTACTCTGAAGATGGTCTGAACGCCTCAAGCCGTCTTTGACTGTCTGTGTAAGCTGTGAGCTCATTCGACGTTTATAGGGCGGACAAAATAAAGAGGGCCCTCTTCTGACAGATCTCTACAAAGCGCGGAATCTATTCCGCTCACCTATTTCTGCGAAATTATCTGCCGAATAGAAACAATGACTGAAGCGTTTAAATCCTCTGTTGTAGCTCAACACGTATGCTGTCATTCCGCCAAGCTCGATGATGCGGGTTCGATTTTCGGCCACAGCGGCCGTGATTATACAAGTGCGACCAGCAAGAACGCCTGTCTTGCAAATCGAAGGAAGAAGGTGCATCTTAAGGAACCCCAGGTGGTCAAAAATATTTAGTCTCTTACTACATTGTGCCTCGGAGTGATGTTGCTTTGACACGTAAACCATGCAGATGCGTTATAAAATAGTATCGTTAGTTGAGCTAGTTTGTATCAGTATATCGCAACAAACGGCTTGAAAAACGAGACGGGGCACACAGAAAGGATTAAAGAGAACAAGCGCTGACTGTCAAGTCAGTTTTTTTTTTCTTTTTTAGCGCTGAGTTACATTGGTCGTATTCCTCGCCGTTTCGCTGTGGCTTGTGCCCACACTGCGAGCTGAGCTGTTGCCTAGCAATCCGCCGCATCTGGCAGCTCCGCTCGTGGTGCCATCTGGCGTTGACGTCAGAGGATGAGACGGTGAAGCTGCGTTGTGACAGCAACGGAGGAGACGGCGTTGCATCGTAGTTATAGACGGTACGGCTCGGTGGGAACCGTCGGCAGATAGGGAAAGTGAGTCGGAGAGACTGAAAGAAGCCAGGCTTCGTTGTCGAAACGAAAGCAAGAGCAGGCAGCGGGTCGAGGAGACGGAGGAAGAACGAGCCGCACGCCTCGAGAAGCTTGGCCGCATAGAAAACCAAGCCAAACAACAAGATTAACCGTATCTCTCGCTACGCACACCCAGGCATACCAGAGTGAAGCCGCAGCCAATTTTTTTTAATCCCAAATAGATAAGCACGTAACCGTACAGTTGTGAGGCATGTACTGATGTACTATCTGATAATTACCGCAGGAGCCAAGGTTGTTGTTTCCGCGGCTTAGCTAGTGTATTTCATGCTCTTTTTTGATGCGGAGTGCTGCTACTCGCGCGATGTATTGCATGCGCCGCGATCTTTTTCTAACACAGGTCAGCTGGAAGTGATACCCGTGGAACAGCTTCGCAGCCTGCTCTCCGTGCTCGAGGAATCGTGCGGCACGGCCACCGACTTCGACGAAAGGCCCGGCCTCAAGTTCCTGGTCCAGAAAGTCGCTCGCTGCGAGGTGGCCGCCAACCTGTTCAAGCAGGCGGCCATCAGCTGGGCCATACAGGCCGTGGTGCTCCTCGAGCTGTGTCTGGGCCGACCTGCTGCCCAGCCGCTAACGATGGACGCCGTGAACCGACTCGTGGCGTCCTCTGGCTCTCCCAAGTCTAGACGGGACGAAGAGGAATGCTGCGATGGTGGAAGCGAGGATGAAAACGATGAAGAGCGAGAAATAGACGAGGAAGATCTTCGGCAAACCGTAGAGAGGGTGAAAGACGAAGTTCAAGACCCGAAAGGGGGTGACAGAGAAGGCTTAGAAAGGAACGAAGATCGGAAAGGAGAGCCGAAGGGCGAGGAAACAACGAAGGTTGGCGCTGACGGCGACGGCTCAGTCCGAGAAGAAGTGGACGTCTCGGAGAAGGCCGCCATTAAGGGCGAGGGCGATTCGAAGTCAACGCAAGACGAAACGGTCGAGAACGAGCGCGTCCTTGATACGGGTGCAGGTGATAGCTTATCAGCGGGTGAGGTGAAGGATGACAGCCACGGTGGAGGAGACAAGGGCGTGGAACGTGGGAAGGAATATGAGCGCGTGGAGACCTCGGGAAAGTGCGGCGAACGTTCTCGTCTGGCTAAAAGAGACGGCGAAGTGTCGGCGTCGTCATCGTCCGAGGACGGTGAAGACGAAGCGAGAGCGCCGATCGACTCCTTCGAGGAGGACAAGTGCCAGTGGAGAAAGAGAAGGCGACGGCGGTTGCGGAGAGAGCAGCGTATTTCCGAATCCCTGAGCCTCCGGAGGGCAAAAAGTAGTCTCAGTGAAGTACGTAGTGAATTTTATTCTTCCCCATTCATCCATACGTCCTTCCGTCTTTCTTTTTTTCTTTCTTTCTTTCTTTCTTTCTTTCTTTCTTTTTTTCTTTCTTTTGACGCCATCCGCAATGATAGCTTATAACGTAGCCAAAGAACGAGTTTACGACATAATAAATAGATTGTCACGTGGTCCTCGCTGTGAAAGATAAGATAATGGCGTTAGGGGGGGGGGGGAGGTCGTGAGTGGCGAAATTGGCCCCTCATTGTGCGAATTTAGCATATAGAAAACAAGCAACCATCAAAGCAAAATTGTTAGCGCCGTTGATCACAACTGTCAAAATCACACCTAAATGAATTCATTGCTGCATGACCGTCGTAGATTCGTCGTAGATTGTTGAATCGTCGTAGATTCAAGCTTAATTGCTTGCGCTTCCGCGTGTACGACAGTTCACATAACATTTGCATCGCGTACGTGGTTTGATGAGATAAGATCCGCGAGTGTTCCTCTGTAGGACGGATAGACTATTTGAAATTTTGAGTGCGCTTAGGCGTGCCTTGTGCCAAACGATAACGTTGTAACAGTTGTCAGAAGTCGACAAGTGGGCTCCCCGAAATGCTTACCAGTTTACGTTTGTCAAAAAAGAAATACTGTTCACCACGTGTCGTTCCATTTCACGGCGTACTTAGCTCTCGTGGTTACGTGACGGATGGAAATTCTCTGCGTGATCTTGATTTCTCTTTGCGCGCCCTGCCCGTGTGAGATTTGTAAAGGCCCTGACACGTTGTAACATAGACGTACCGCTTTCGTTGGTATTCTTGTTTCAGGACCGTTCCTTTCTTGCTTGTTCGATGCTCTCGTTTGTAGGCCACTCAGAGCTTTACTGGTGTGCTCCCAACCGAACATGATAGGACGTAGTAAGCCTCAATACAAAGTATTTTGATTGACTGGTATGTTTTACAGATGCTGCTATTGAGCCAAGGGGTCGTGGATGACATATATCAACTCGTCACTTTCACGACACGGCTGCTCAATACCTTTTTTTTTTTTGTCATTTGTGCATGTGCTGTAACGGTCACTTTGCTGCGTTACACGGCGAGTACGCAGTGAAGCCAGCTTTAGGGACCGTCCACTCGGGCACGTGATTTTGATAAAGGTCGTTTCTTTGTCGCATTTGCAATTAATACGGACGATCTCGGCGGGTTTTCGTTGCCGCTGTCGCCGCGATGTTCTGCATAAAGTTCCGATCAGCAGCTGCGAACTTCGATCATTAGGACGCGGTCGCGAGTATTGGCGCGCGCGTTATCTCTACAGTAATCAGTAGATGGCACGCGTACGTACATACGTGATGTGCTCTCACCGTTTGCTTCGCGTTTAGAGGACAAAAACGTGAAAACCGTCTCATTTCCAGGAGTGGCCGTATTTGCTTGCTCACGGGCTTTGTAGAGTCACGCGAGATCAGCTAAGAACGGTTAGCTGCTAAGCTTACTTCATATTACATTCCAATTCGTTATTATCGAATTGCTTCGCCCTTGTGCTAAAATTGTGAGTTTTTTTTTTACTCTTGTGATAAAGCAACCGCAGCAATTTAGTGGAGATAAAAAAAGTCTTGCCCAGTTTTAGTTAGCTCGTGTACTTTTGATTCCACTTGTGAGGACTTCACGTTAGCTCTCCTTGTGCTTTTTACACACTGCTGTTGCTTTTTTCCCGGGTCTGTAGGCTAGCGGCGAGGATTGGAACCCATACCGGCGGCTGCGGTCGCTTTTTGCCGACCTGTGCGCGCATTATGCGCGGGTGGCGTCCCCAGAGGCCAAGGAGGGCGCCATCTTGGACCGCGTGTGCGACCAGCCCATCTTCTTCCTCATGGCGCAGCCGGACACCCTCCCGGACATTTTGCCGGACAGGCGCGTATCGCGGTAAGCGAATCTCGCAAAGCTGCGTGACATCACGAGGAGGTCACTGCTCCCTTGTGGAATGCAGGGCAGACAGCGCCGGTTCTGCTGCGGGCTCCGAACCAGCTCCTCGCCATCCCGTTCCTCTACTGGCCACCGACTCGTCGTCAGACTCGTCCGAGCCCGAGATGGCGTCCGAGTCGGCGCTGCAGCCTGACCGCGTCTACTCGATCGTCACCGAGCGGGCCATCCAGTCCATGGTTTCCGAGTACAAGCGGCGCAAGACGAGGCACTCGATGCCGGCACCCGTGGCTCCGCCGTCAGCGGCAGCACTCCGCCACCAGAGGTCGTCAGTGAGCAGCGTGGCGAGCAAGAAGTCCTCTCTTTCCAAGGGCGCGTCAATGGGCTCCGACGAAGGTGGTGCCGTAGTTGAGAACGCCGGTACCTCCTCGCCTCCTCCTCTGCCTACAGAGGTGGAGAACCAGCGCAGAAGCTCCATTCTCAAGGTAGGTCAGTACAGTCAAACCCGAATATGTCGAACTCGGGTAAATACAGTAGTCCTTTATGTCTAACTGTTTCGAACGTGACTTGGCACGAATCAATCGGAGAAATCTACGGCTACATCGAACAAAAAAAAGTCACAGCTTTTTCTTACTTTTTTCTTATTTTTCTTCTATTTTCACATGCATAGATACGTACTTATATACGATTAATGACGCCGGTGGCAAAATCCAACCAAGTGTGTCCATATAATTCAATTATTAAAATAACTCAAATAGCAAATACTATCGCAATAATAGCCGGAACACTTCACACGACAGATAGCATGAGACGTTACAAGAAGTTGGCTGATTGATTGATTGATTGATTGATATGTGGGGTTTAACGTCCCAAAACCACCATATGATTATGAGAGACGCAAGAAGTTGTCTTTCTGTCACGAATGTTGGCCTTGTATCGCGGGAGGGGCTTTCCCGCATTAATTTAGGAGCGTGAGTGGTGACAGGTACGCACAGCTGCGTGCGAATACTAAGGCTCTGTTTACATCGATTTTGTATTTTGACATGTACAGCTTGCCCCTGAATATAACTGGCACCCCCAACTGCGAGACTCAAAAAAGTGAAAAAAATTTTTTTTTCGAGTATTGCTGTGGGATTACCTTCTTTGCATTATCGTGAAGCAGTGCCAAGAAGCCAACTTCGCAGCAAAGTTCACATTTAAGCTGTGGTAAACTTCTTGAAAGTTCTGTACAGAATTACGTACTATAACAGATGCTCCCCCCCCTTTTTTTTAGACTTCGATAATGCAGGATTGATTGTATGTCAAAACATGTCCGAATCGTTTTAATCTGGGCTAGTAGGCGACCTTGCATGTCGAGTAGTTGTAACAATATTAAAACACAAACGAAGGAACGAAACGCAAAGGCACTGCTGGCTGACAACTTCCATTTTAATTTAACTCCGCATGTCCTAGACCACAGGACTAAATTTACAGAAAACCTACTTCCTGGTTTTCGGTATAAAATATGTTGCCAGGTTTTGGCAATGTGCAAACTGTGTTACGCAGCTCGTATGAGCCACTAGTCCAATAGAATAAAAAAAACAGCAAATGTCTCCTGTCGGCACTCCAACTAAAGTCCACTATTTGACTACGAACCTCTTCTCACAGCCCATGATTGATTGATATGTGGGGTTTAACGTCCCAAAACCACTATATGATTATAAGAGATGCTCCTCACAGCCCATGAATTACTCCGTTGATTGGCTAATGTACCTTTCACATCACCTGTGAGCACTAGAGTGGTGTATGTTGCTGCACGCTTCCAGAGCCATAATAAAGGCATAGATGTATATGTCTTCCTAATATACTTACTTTTGTGCACACAGTTGTACCAAGCTACGAAAATGAAGGCTTTCTTTCTGCTTGTTTCTTCCTTCATTTTTTATGTTTGAAAGAAGTGTTGCTTTCAATCACATAGTATTTCCTGAAGAAGTATTCTGTATCAGAATATCTATTAACCAGGCAGCCCAATATGCTTTCTTTGTTACTCTCTCTTTTTTACGACAGGATGCAGAAGCCCATGCGCAAGTGTGGTCCCAACTGGCCCAATCTGTTCTCGAACTTCACCTTTCTCTTTGCGAGGCTGAGTTCTTGGCCTTGGTGCCTGTGTTCTACGCGGGCGTCGAAGTGCTAATCAATTGCGGGTCTTCGGAGCCAGAGCTGAGGGCACTCATCGCCGACTGGCTGCATCGCGTGGCTCTCTGCTTAGGCTTCAGCGGCAGCTTGGTATCTTCTAGCACCTCGCGGCAACACCTCTAAAACTCGGGAAATGGGCTTCATGTGTTAATGTTCTCTGTGAGATCTAAATGTTAAAGCCCAGCTTCATTGTTACCGAATTTTTCCCTGCTTGCAGTACAGCTTCGGAATAAGCCCTGTGCTATCCTTTCTTCGTTAATATCTTCCAGCATTGCTGCCCAGAGGTCGTCTCGTACGACCACATGGAGCTTGTTTGTTCAGTGGTCAGCTATGCAGTGCTGTAATGAGACGTTTGCATAGAGACTTTCTATTTTGATTTGCTTGTAATTGCCGTGTGCTGACGCAAGATTTTGACTGTCAGCTGTTGAGTTCTGAGAAAGCCCATACAATGCTGGAAATTTCGTGGGAAAGAAAAAAACTCTCGTGTTACAGATGGGTGGAATTTTCCTTTTGAAAGATTTCGACTGAGCTCAATTTGGTCTTAGTTATATTGTCCTTTCAGATTATTGTAAAAACGTACGGATATACAGTCAATCCCCTTCCTAATAGACAGATGTTATCTAGAGACAAATAGGTATAAGAGACACCACTCTGCCTGCATTGAAACCGGTGTTGATGATCAAAAACGTACAAGGTACCCTGCTTATAAGGGAGATCTCATATAAAAGAGAAAAATTGCTGCCCAATTATATCTTTTTTTTAAGAGGATTTAACTGTATTGCAATTATGAAAATCTGGTATGTGCAAACTATAAACCTTTCTTATAGTTTCAAGGAAGATCAGTCAATGAAAGCCCTATTTGACATGTTCTGTTCATGCAGCATACAGTACTTTTAATATATTAGCTGTCATTTTCAGGAGTTGGCGCAAACTGTATCCAATTTTACGGTATGTTTGTCTGGGCTGAATAAAAGCTTACAGACATCATTCCCGTGTTCATCATTCCCATGTTTAATGGCACAACCAGGGAACAACAGGAGGCACATGTAGAATGTGAGTGCTGGAGCACAGAAGATGTTATTGTATATATCTATGAGATTGCCTGTTATGTTATGTATATTAGCTTCTAGTCACCTTTTCCTGTGATTGTCATCTTTATTTGCATTTTTTGTTTCTGGTTCTTTGTGAGTGTTACACTTAGAGTAGCCTGCCTTGCACCTTGGTTTCTACTTTGAATTTACTGTGTTGTGTGTTTACCTTAGAAGACTTTCGTGTACCTCTTGAACCTTACTAACCTGAGACATTTTTATACGAAAGTCAAGTGCCATTCAGATTGAACCAGTGCTGGACATAACCTTCTTACTATGGGCCTAGTCTACCAGCTGAGTGTCTCGGGCAACGTGTTGTCACATCAATTGTGTGTTACCAAGTGTGTTCGGTGGTTTCTTAAAGGGAATATGGCACATTTAATTCTCCTTCAACTAACATTCTTGCTGAAAATATGACATAAGGCTTGTCTGCCAGGATATCTAAAGTCATTATGACTGTGGTCCGTGCAAGTGCAGACGTAAAACTTTCACCATTGGCTCGGAAGACTTCTCAAAACTTTCACCATTGGCTCGGAAGACTTCTCAGTACTTCCACGATTTCCGCCTCCAGTAAAACTCATAGGTGGCACATTATTGCGATGGCTATGTGACTATCCTTAACATTGTGGACATGTTATTACACATTGCAACCTATCTATGGCACCTGCACCATGTTTTTAGTGTCTGAGGTTATTTTAATTTTACATTACTCATAACTTAAATGTACACTGTGGCTATGTCTTAGCACAATATTTTACAGTGTGCTGTGAACATGAATTTTTATTCCTGATGTCATATCTTTAGCGCAAACAGGAAGAACAAGAAAACTGGCTTTCTTCCTGGTTTCGTTAAAAATATGACGTCGGGAACACGCCACCAACTAGCCCGAGAGGAAGCTTTATTGATGTATTTTTATGGAGACGGAACATATGTAATTAGTCTAGCGAATACTTTCCTCAAGTCTCACCTTGTATCATGTTCAAGTCTTTGTTTTGCTTTTCTTTTTGCTTGGATGTGTGTGAAAGAATAGTAATTCTTGGCTGATCCAAATTTCTTGTGAACCAGATATTCTGTCTTACATGCACATTTATTACCACTTGTCGAAATTCTTTTCAAAACAAAGCAGCCTGTCAACTTCAGGCTTCTTTCACTACCACCAGTATTTTCTTTAGTAATGGCTATTTTGTGACTGCTATAATGTTTTCACAGTGCTATGATGCATTGGTAATGACAACTTGAAATTCGGGCCACCTTATGAATTTTCGTCTACAAAATAGCATTCAAAAGTCATGCCGTGGAGTGAAATGTTATCTTTTAAATCATTTCTGCAAGTGTTGGCTCTAAGGGAAACTCATAATTAGCATTTGGCAAAAAGTCACGTTCTTAAGATTTCTTATACCTTTCATGAATGTTAGCTGATTTTTGTGGCAGACACATCACGTTTGCTAACTATGACCATGCATTTATTTTGCAATCAGTCTGTCGGATGTGTGTTGTGTTTCCTTTATTGTGTGGAGAACAATGTGGGTTTGTGGTCAATGGTTTGGGTGCCAAAGGTCCCTGTGTTGATACATAGGCTAAGCACAGTTCTGGGGACAAGCCTGATTATATGCATTTATACAATATATGTATTTATATTGTGTATGCCTGGCGCAATTCCCCCACATCACTGCAAACATTTGAGGTCGTTGTTGAATGTCGAGCTGTTGTGTTGCATGTGCGATTAAACACCTAAAGAAAATGAAATATCTGCATTTCTGACTCTTTTACTTATCATTTTGTTACATAGAGTGAGGAAAACTTGTCATGCTATCTCATAACTGAATGTGCATTTGATGCTCTTATTGTAAGCAAAAAGTCGCAGGCTGTAGGATTTTAAAATGTAACTAAGGCATTCAGAGCCAGGGTAGTGAAAGCAGGTTCGGACTAATTGAAGACCCACCACAATGAAATTTTAATTAGCTGAAGAAACTTGAGATGTGCAAACAATGAAGACGAAAACATACTACAAGACAGATGCTTTATTCGCAACTGCCCTTTATTTGCAACGAAAATAATAATTTATACGCGCATCAAGCTCATGTAAATTCACATATCATGCCACAAGAGATGGTGTGGGTCAATCTGCGAACATGAAATTCGAAAACAGATCGCCGTCCATCAAAGGGCAAAGGGTGTCGAAAGAAAAGCCACTTCATTTTCTTACAACATCAAAGATTTGGAACAAGTGCACTTATCACCTGCTTTCTTTGTCAGGTAAGCCTCGATAATTGCAAGATCTCTGCCGATATCGGATACGTGATGCACGAACACTCTTGAGTATTGCCCGTCTCAGAGTACGGCGCGACAAGCAGGGAAGCTGCGAGCTCACCTGCACAACATAGTACGGGTCAATTGGGTTAAAGATAGTAGGCCGATATCTAAATATTGGTGACGATGTGATTATGGGGGCTGATTGGCGGCACCTGTAAGCAACGCTAGTATGAACTCTTCTGCGGCAGCCGCGAACATAGGCCAAGTCCTATACGGCACGCTCCCAGAATTATATCGTCCATGTTCACACAGACGTCACGAAGTCCGAAGGCACCACTAAAGGGGTTGGGAAGATTTAAGTTCGCTCTGCGTTGAAATCTCTTCCCGAAGGCTTCGACTTAGCCACCGAAACAGAGATGATCATTTTCCGGAAAGAGAAAATATACACCTTTAGTTGGTCATTGATTAAGCACCGTCTTCGAGGAAGCTTGATGTTTCATAATAGGCAGTATTATAACACACCCGCCACGGTCGTCTAGTAGTTATATATTACTGACCGACTACTGACCATGCTGGTCGCGGGATCGAATCCCGGACGCGACGGCCGCATTTTTTATGGAGGTGAGATTGCCTGAGGCCTTTCTATTTATATTTAGGTGCACGTTACAGAACCCTCCAGGTGATCGAAATTTCCGGAGCCCTCCACTACGGCGTGTCTTATGATCATATCGTGGTTTTGAGGCGTTAAGACCCACCAATTGTTATAGTTTTAGAACATTAAATGCAAAGATAGCGTTCGTTGCGCACGCTCGCTATTTTCATCACTGAAGGGGCCACGCCAAGGTATAACGTACGACGCATGCGCAGTAGTGACAAACTTTAACGCAGAGCTTTGTGTACCCTATTTTAAAAGCTCCCTAGCAAGAGTTTTAGATAGGGCATACCGAATTCTTGGCGCACGCTGTCCTTTACGTTTGCTGCCGCTGCTGCACGTGTCGTACTCTAACTTCCGCGGGTACCAACGTTAGGTTGGCGTGGGTAACCCAAGGAACGCTCTTTCGGCGTACCCCATTCTAAATCTGCCGATTGCGTCACGAACGAGTACACCGAAGAAATGCGTAATGACAATTGTGTATATTTTCTTTGGCACCCGCAACAAAGTAAACTGCCCTTCAGCGACAGTTCTTTTCCCAGAAAAAACATTCACACAACCCGAACCTATCCTCGATACGTATAAGTGCATGGTAGCCCAAACGCGAAAAATTGGTAACGCTTCCTGAACCATGCAGGAGTCCCAGATAGTGGCCTGTTTCCGTGCAAGCGCGCTGTAACGCTTACCCACTTGTTTTCATTGAACGAAAGTGTTCCTTCAATTCTTGAGGCTATAACGGCCTCGCGAATTAAACTTGGGCCTTTATCGAAAGGCTGCGATTGCGGGCAGATGTTCTGCGTCACTCTTTGTAGCACCATTCGTACACCGTTGTCGAGCGTCGTCAGAGCGGCGATGCGTATTCGAGACAAATGGCAATGGAGGAGGGGACAGCGTTTAATTACAGCGGCTGCCAAACAGCGACTTGCTTCGTTTGATTAACAGTGTCGGTCGTGATGTATGGTTGCAACAACGAGTGGTTGACTGCGGGACCGTGCCGGCGCAGCTCGCCACTCAAGTGAGCAAGCGAAAGCAAGCTTGCAATTTAGGGAGTTACGGGAAAGTGGGCTCTCGATGTTAGTCGGCTGTTCTCGAGTTATACATCCTGAGTTTTACCACATATGGCGCATATGCGCTGTAAAAAGCATGCACTCAGTTTGCGTGCATTCTATATCGCGCATATATATCGTTTATACCAAAAGGAACATATATTTCGTTGATATGTTTGACAAATGCCAACACGGTGATAAGCGTATCGGTTTGAGCATTAAGTGGTTTAACGTGTCATTCCTTCAACCAATTTTAAGAACTCGACCGAATATTGCAGCGTCGTTGGTTGTGCGTGAAATATCGCTCTTTATATACATGAGCGTTTTTTTTTTATTGAGATGGGTAGATCGTCAAACGTTTAATATCAAGGGTCCTAAGATACGTGACTTCCGCACATTCGATTGCAAATAAGTAACTTATAAGAATCTTCGGGTCGAGCGGCATTCGAACCCAGGCCTTCTGCGTAGATAAGCGGGTGTTCTACACCGCAGTCACGCTAGTGCGTAATAAAAGTTTTGCAAAAAACAAAACATAGTTGGCGAGGAGTTCATGTCACGTTACGTTGCAGAAACGTGGGATCGCATGGGGCTTGAAAACATGTGAATTGCGCAGTGCGAGGTTGGTTTAAATGCACACGAAATACAAAGCACATCAGCGATAATTAATCAACCGTATCAGCAATAACATCGACAAAGTACGCAGGTGCACGCGTGCGCATGCAGCTGCTCACTTTCTAGGGAGTGGACAGAGTGAAACCATCACACGACGCGAAATTCACATGTTTTCGAACGCGATAACATGATCACTGTCACAGCAGATGCCTTTATCATTTTGATAACCTAGCCCTCTCTTCCTTGGTCTAGCCAGCCCATTCATCGTCGTTTCGTGGATTATCGCCGCCGAATTCGCACTATCCCGGCGTTCACAGCAAAATTGTCGTTATTTGAACTTGTGTTAGCATTTCGTTTTCTTCCGACGACGCGCAGGGCTGACGGTTCAGCTAGCAGCTTTTACCGGTCGGAGCGCGTATACCGGTGCTCTCTCTGGCTTTGGACGTGACAAACCCGGTCGCGGAACCAGCGATATTGTTTCCTATTCGTCGTATGTGGCGTGCCGTGCGCGAACGTCTACTATTTGAGAAGTCAAAGTCCCCTATATACACCGCTTTGATTCGGAAATGGGTAAGTGTGCCTGTATATACTGGTTATTTCTTCCTAATACTAACAACGATGCGCAAGTGTGCGCACTCTCAGTGAAAGTTTTATTTAAAAAACAAAATAAAACAAAAACAGAAAACGTTCGGGATGTAGAAACAGTGCGAAAAACATAGACGAGGACAGAGGAAGGGACGACACCGCGCTCAACCACCCACTAGCCCAACTTTCGCCAGTATTACAGAAAACGTCGCCGAGGAAGTTTCCTCTCTTCGTGGCCCATGTGCGCAGCCCTGTAATTGACTACATTGAACGCAGTATTTGCATGCAGTTACCTTGAATGCAGACAGTTGAGTGCAGTAATGCAGTTAGTTTCTCTGACCTGGTTTGACGTCACAGAAAATGTTTCTGTGACCTGGTTTGAAGGGGCTTGACGTGCACGGGTGAGTAGGTGTAATATGCTGAACGAAATAACGCTGCGAAGAAACACGAGGACTAGAAACACCATGAACCAGCGCAAACTATCAACTGATGTTTATTTGAGGAAATACTAGGGAGCTTTCGAATAGCGTACGCAAAGCTTTGCGTTAGCGTTTTGCGCATGTGTCGTATGCTAACCGCTTGCGAGCTCCTGCTAAGTGATGGAAATGCGACCGCAAAGCCCGTCATCTTAGCGTACACTATTTGACAACTACCTACTAATACTTATGCACGTGTAAACAAACGTCACCATCATCTCGTGCTCAGGTTCTATCGCGAAATGAAAGTAATCTCTTTTTTTCTTGGAGTGCCACTGACACGCAACCGATGCAAGTGAATGCTGCGCAATAGGGTATGGTTTGGGAATTACTAATTGTTATTTCGTCTTTATTATTCTTCTTTATTCAGCGACGGAGAAGCTTCGTCTTCAACATCAAGGGAAAGCAAAGTAAAGATGCCCTTGACCGAATTCCGAACGCGTGATCCAGTGCCTAAATATGCAGGGTGGCCAGTGAACAGTTGTGCAGCGCGAGCAGTGTTTTTTTTTTTTTTTGGCAGATGCTGTGTAGGTCGGTCTTGCGAGGCGAGAGAGGGGGACGGGAGCGACAGTTTGCACGAGACGCGAACACGCGCAATGGGAGTGTGGATGGCGCCGCCGACACCGGATCCGCGGCATCGTGCGACTAAGAAACGTTTCGCATCTAAACAGGGATTACTTTCATGTCGCGATAGAGCCTGAGCACGTGATGGTGGTGACGTTTCCTGTTACGTATCAGCACCAGAATTTCCTCACATAAACTTCCGTTGGCAACTTGCGCTAGTCTATCGTAAGTGTTCCTTTCAAGTCCTCGTGTTTCTTGTGCAGCGTTATTCCAGTGCGGTGTGGTTTCTAGAGTAAAGTTCTTGCAAAGGCTTGTGTAGTGTTATGTGTAAAGGCCTGACCACATGCACCCGTTGCAGCGCGTGACTTTCTAGACGCGGCGCTGCACCCTGTCTCTACGGAGAGAGAGAGAGAGAGAGAGCGTGCAGCATCGTACCATCCCTCTTCATAGGAAGAGGGTGTGGCGCTGCGCCAAAAAGCCACGCGCTGCAACTGGTGCATGTGGTTAGGCCTTTACGATGCCGTCAAAGTTCGGTATTACGGGGTGCGGCAAGGTAAGCTCTAAATGAATTTCCGTCTACGCAAAGTAGTACCTGCACAAAACCAGTTAACGCTTGTTCGTCCAGAGTAGGAAGCATTTCAATTGAATCGATAAGACACGCGTTTTGTGTCATCCCCAGCAGCTGCAGACACGTGAAGAGTGATTCGTGTGCGCGTATATATGCACGAATTTCCCAAGTTACTCTCGATGCGTGGTGTATTTGTGTATTGTTCGACGGCAGCGAAGAAGACCAGACTGCCACAACACTGATAACTGTGGATTGCTTGCCTTCGTTACATTTAGAAGAGTAGCAGGGCAGAACGTACGCTGATCAGCTCGGACTTAAAAAAAAAATTCGCCTAATCCCACACCCTGTGGGAATTAGTTTCATGCGAAGCAGTCAGCTATATAATCGTATATGCTCCTGTTTTATGGAAGGGGGGGGGGATAAACATGTTTCTGTAAGTGTTGTAGTTGTGTGAACATCATGAGCTTACCAGGAATGTCGACTGCACTAGTGTTTAAAGGGTATCTGACATTTCTTAAGCACTCACGTTGGAGCGCATATACGTCAGTATTACTAAAGTGCAGTGCACTTTACAGTGCGATGATATGAATATCATACGCAACTTTCTTTAGCGTATTCCTCCAGATCAAGTGACAGTCGAGTCTAATATGCCTAATAGTAATACAAATCACGTGTTTAGATTAAACAACTTCCAAAGCATAACAAACACTAGAACCACCATTGCCGTTAACCTGACATGACGCCTGTATCAGACGAGTACAACCGCCCATTTTTTTTTTTTAAATCTGAAAGCGCGAACGTCGACCGCCCAGTCGATAAGCGGTGTTTAGCGAAGCACAGCGGTGAAATGAACGAGAACGCATGCATGCCTACGATTTACAGTCCTGTGCAGCTGCTGTCTTCTGCTAGGCTGTTCCGGAAATCGGAAACCAGGACGCCCACAACAGGCGCACAGACTTGGTGGTCCATGTTCGCACGTTCAGGTTTAAAAAATAGGTGGCTGTACATATGTAACGTTAATTACCACAATATAAAGATATATATATATATATAGCACTGCGTTGCCATTGCACCGACATAACGCCTGCATAGGGTTTTTCTCCAAGGCGGTTTCAAGACCTGGCGGGCTTCCGTGGTTTTTGTGGCCGTAAGGCAGAGTTCAGCTGTCTCTGTGAACTTAAACTGTGTGGACTTAATTTACTGACGATCGAAGCTGAGAAGCAAAATCAAGAAACGCAAACACGCCTAGAGTACGTAACAGAGATAGACGTGGTCTCATTTATTGCATGTCAGTATTGCTTTTGAAGATGGGATGCTACATGAAAGATACACGACAGGGTGGAATGACGTGAACACGCATAATATGTACAGCACAGTTTTTATCTCAGGGTGGACACGACATAGTCTTGTTGAACGCTTCGTTTTCGATTGAACAACATGCTCGGTCGGATCTTCTGAGAATAGTTGGTTCACATTGAAGTGTCAAACTCTGCGACTACTGTGTTTCTCGCAGACTACAGAACATTGGGTAGAAAGGTGCACATACACTGTTACTGAACGTTTTTTTTTTTTTCTTGAGCTTTCTGCAGTTCTAGAAAGTGTCCAGTGCACACGGGATCTGAGCCACGATGCAGGTGGTATTCAAACACCTACAATTGTTTTGTAGTAATGCATGGACAATAAAGATTGAAGAGCATATTACGTGATGCTTGATGTTCATCCTACCTTATGCTTCATAGCCGGACACAATTCTTTGGTCGCAAGAGGCTTTGAGCTCACGTTTTTGTTTGTATCACACCTTTGGCGCATACCTTATGCAACAAGAAACGAGGCAACTTGATCGCACTTGCTTAGAGGTGAATTTGTGATTACTGTCACCTTTGCGTTCGCCTGGCTACGTACGAGTTCCTTCAGTTCCTCGCAATAGTAACAGCCACGTGGTGACTTCAAAGACGAACTACTTTTTCTTCCCAGATGACAGTCTAGTCACGCGTCATTAAACGTGCGCTGTGGTATCGCATCACTAACTGTTCCAAAATAAATAACAATCAACACGTGCACACACGGGCCTCAGTGGGTGATCGGGTGCGTTCAGTACGGCCTCCAGACATTGTGGTGGTCTCCCTGCGTCCGTAACGAATCTAGTACGGATCCTGCCAGCGACGGGGTCTGTGGTGCGACGATGTCGTCCGTTGTGTGTTGCGGCTGCTGCTGCTGCTGCTGTACCAACGATGGTAGCTGTTGGTGCGTCCTGATGCTGGTTGTGTCAGCGTGAACGAGCGTATTGTCCAGTCGCTGCTGTTGCGACTGCTGCATCGTCGGGGTGGTAGTACTGAACCCTGCCGCGTCCATGACGCACTTCAGATCGTTGCCCAGGAACTGGAACGACGGATGGGACATCGAACCGTACAATTGCGGATACAGCAGCGACGGCGGCATCACCGGCGGGCTCAGGTAGACGCCCGTGGTCGTGTGAGGCTGCGTGGTGGTCGTCGACGTGCCCGTCGAAGTTCCGTTGGTGCCGTAGTACGAGTGCGCGGGCAGGAATCCGCCATAGTTGGTAGGATTCGGCAAAAAGTCGAGGCTCGAAGACGACGGAGAAGAGCTCGAGCTTCCGCCGTTGCCGTTGCCCAGGAGCAGGGACGACGGCGACTTGGTGATGCGCGGGGGAGTGAGCAGCGAGTCGGAGTGCTGATTGTGCAGCGCGGCGTTGCCGCCGGACAGGGCGTTGACGTCGAGCGTCAGCGATCGCGTGCTGGACAGCGGCGAGTCTGAGGAAGGCGTTGAGGCCGTGCCCAGGAGCGCGGACGGCACGGCTGCGGTGCCCGTGTGGCCGCCGATCGAGTCCACGGGACAGGAAACGAGGCTCGCCGGGGAGTGGCTGGTGTCCAGGAGCGCTGCGAAGATGAGAATACGAAACACGTTGTTAACGCGATATATGCTGATGCAATGAAGGCTCTTGATCTGAGTTTCGGTCTTGTTTCAATTGGTTGGGTCCTCTATTTTTTTATTTTTATCATGCTCATAACATCTTTTACCATTAAAAACATTTTTCACTAATTATGTGCATTCTTAAGAGCTTCATAATGCTTAAGGGTTCAACTCTAAAACCTGAAAGGGTACCTCATGGTATGCCAAGACTACTTGATGGCGGAAGCCATAGCCATGCAATCTTAACGTACGCGTACTATTCTGATTTTTATGTTGCTCTATTTCTTCCATGTGCTCCCAATCACATTGAATTACTCTCAATTGATAATTACTGTACATCGCTTGTGTTCTTAAATATTCTCAAGTATATTTATTTACCCAGTTACTTCGTAATTACTTCTTAGTTACTTCACGTCATTGTGCTTTATCGGGCCCATAATGCAATTCAAAGTTGAATACGGATCCCACTGACGGAAAGGTGCATTTTTGTCGGCATTGATTCATTTTATTTCACGTGTCAGTTACTATAATACGATTATTGACAATGTCCCTTATGCTTTCCTTGACATAACTGTATTTTGGATCCAATTGTTTGCGTCTATAACAGAAATGACCCCATCGAAAAATCGCCGTTTCGTGAATGGATGCGAAAGACACGTCAGTTGTCTTTTTTTTTACCATTCGTGTCGCCGCCGACGGTTTCTTTTCGCATATGACGACGCATCTGAGGCTTTCGACTTGATAAATTTAGCCTATAACGTTCACTCACTGTTGTGCAGAGACAGTCCCGCAGCGTTGTCGGACGCTGCGACGGCAGCCAGGGAGGAGACATTCGCCGCGAGTGAAGTGGCCACCGCGGCACTGGCGTCTAGCGAGTAGCTCACGGGCGCCGTGCTGAAGCCGCCGGTGCCCGAGGCTGGGGCCAGGTACGGGTTGTAGTGTGGGTATGCCGCTCCCCAGTGGGCATCGGCGGCGCTCAATTGTTGCAGCGCTGCCTGAGCCAGTTCTGGAAATGAAGATGTAAAGCATGGATGCATTTACGAATCTCAAACGTGAATACCTTGACGCACCGCAAGAGGTACGAGAAAACGAGCAAGCTTAATTTGATTCATATGTGGGGTTTAACGTCCCAAAACCACTATATGATTATGAGAGACGTCGTAGTGGAAGGCTCCGGAGTTTTCGACCACCTGGGGTTCTTTAACGTGCACCCAAATCTGAGCACACGGGCCTACAACATTTACGCCTCCATAGGGAATGCAGACGGCGCAGCCGGGATTCGCTCCCGCGGCCTGCGGGTCAGCAGTCGAGTACCTTAGCCACTAGACCACCGCGGCGGTGCACGAGCAAGCTTAAAGTGACGATACAAGTATCAAGCGATGATGTGGGAACCTAATGTTTTCAGGTGCCGCATGGTTCGTTACCGACCCAGAAAGTGCTGTGCCATGATCGGGTGTATCAACAGGAATCGACTTCTCTGTGCAGTTTGCTTAAAGAAGCCTATCACGATCGTGAGATGCAATTAGAATTACGCTCGATCAAGATCAATTGTGGCAGTTCGGCAGCGCTATAATGAGACGCCTGAGCAGTGGTTTTGTCACTGTATGTATGTTAATCTGTTTTTCGTTAACATTACATTCACGCTACATGGCACTAATGAAGCCAGTTCTTTCCTTAATACATTGCCAATTGGCAAGCTTGTCGTGAATTGCGTGCTTATTGCTCCGCCTGTTCAGAACAAGTGGATTAACAAAATGAGAAATTCTCGTCATAAAGAGAGTGCATGCGGCAAGTTCATGCTAACACAGTGCGTAAAACTATACGCCGTACGGAAGTAATGTACGCGACCTTTCAACCTTTATGAAGATTAACGCCCGCCTTCGAGATACACAAAGCGAAATGAAAAGCTCTTGCAGCAGCCGTCACGTCCCGTAAAAGCTACGAAGGTATACGTTGTCCTTCTTTGATAATAAGAAGCTTTCGTTATCTCACTAGTCTTCTTGTCATCGCCTCGACGTAGCAGTCATAATTACAAGCGTGAAAAAAAAATAACATGCACTCATAGCGCACTAAGCGGTGCTTTCTGCTGCACAAAATGGTCATTCCCACATTTTATATTAAACATTAGTTCCTACAGTTTATTCGTCACTCCGGGAAATGTTTTGAATGCACGGTTTTCGTAAGCGGTACATTTTTTGCTGAAACGATCTCCCCTCTCTCTCCTTCCCTCCCCCTCTTTCTGTTACCCATGGAAAGCACCGTGGTTTAGCCTCGAACAGCTGAACGCCCGGCTGGGACGCAGGTTGTCAATCCTTCACTGTGTTTCTACCAAGACAGAGACAAAAAGAGACGTTTGTGACGATCTCATCGCTGATATATACCCGTTCATCGTGTTTATCTCTCGCATTTTCTGTTCACGATTCGCACATTGCCGTGGGGCAAGAAGAGCTTCATTTTCGCGGCTGTAATAGAGACCAATATCGGGGAGCCGCCTTCGGAGCCGCGACAGAAGAAACCAACAGCGCTGGTCCGTCCCACGTATTGACTGAAGCGTCAGGGAGAGAGCATATACCCCTGTTTGCCGTGCGGATTGCTGCGGAAAGAATCCGGGGAAGCGCTGTTGACCCTTAGCTTTTCTCCTTCCCCGCGTTGAGGCAGCTACTGGCGTGGTGTCTGCGCCGCCTGCTTCGCAGGGATAAGGTTATTACACGGACATCTCAACGCCCGAGGCGTAGGGGAGAAATCGGCTTCGGAGTGTCTCGGAGACCGGACTGTGTACGCCCGTATATGTCTTGAGACGACGCGAGGACTTGTTTACGCATGGCTATTAAAGGGGAGCGCGATGGGAAAGAGTCCGGCGGCGGTCTTGACGAATGGGCCGTAAAGGCAAACGGATTGCCACAGGTTATCCCCGTTATGGAGTCGCGGAAGTTGGCTCATGAACGCGGCTGGGGATTGTGTAGATCCCCGTGCGTGTATACCTGGCCACTCGCCACTTGCCTCTCAGACGCGTGATGCGGGTGGTTGCGTATATGCACCTGAAAGGTGCTGTGTTTAGGGCGGCTAAGCACACAGAACGCGCGAGTAGATTTAGCCTAAAATCAATGGCTCTGCGTATGCGGCGACATTTACGAAATGAAAAAAAAAATTGTCGGCGATGCATTTTGCAGCGATCGTTCAGGGAGCTATAGTTAGACTGCTGTGAACATAAGTCACACGTGCACCAGTGTAACATTTGATTGTGCATTGCTGCTCAATTGTTGTGAGCCCGAAAATTTTGAAGGGGGTTGGGAGGGAAAAAGAAAAGGGGAGGGTCTGCCATACTTTATGCGCGTGCATGCGTGAACTAATTCGTGAACGAGATTGAAGTAACTAGACAAGTGAAGTGGAGCGCACTCGTCAAACATTCTTAAATCATGCATAACAGCTTGCCATTATCCTCAGAGGGGAAGGTATATATGCTGCAACTTACCGGTACTTAGCTACGGAGCAGAAACCTGAAGGATTACAAAGAGGGTTAAACTTAAGTTGAGGGCGACGCAGGGAGTAATGGAAAGAAAAATTATAGGTGTAACCCTGAGGGACAAGAAGAGAACTGCAGAGTGGGTTGGGGAACAAATTAAGGACATCACAGTCAAAACCAAGAAGAAATATTTATGGGCTAGGCACGTAACGCGATGGCAAGATAACCGCTGGTAAATAAGAATCTCAGAATAGATTCTAAAATAAGGCAAGCGGGTGAGGGAGAGACAAAAAGTTAGGTGGGCAGATGAGATTAGGAAGTTTGCGCGTATAAAGTGGCAGCAGCATTGCAAGCAAAGGATTACTTGACTGGCGGAACATGGGAGAGGCCTTTGTCCTGCAGTGGACGTAGTCCGGCTGATAATGGCCACACGCAAAACCGAAATATTTAGTTACATGCAAAAATTAAAGCATTTCCGGTGGGGGTGGTGGTTCACTCCCCCCATCCTCTTCCTCCTGACTCCGCCAGTGCTGTTTAGTGACATCGAACGCTTGGTATCTTGCCCGCAGTGCCGTATAGCAGTGGGGTAAAAATATTTCTTCTTCGGCACGCGTCTTGTTTTGTAGATTAGGCGTTAAATACGGCTAAAGTCAACACTAGGCCCCCTTCAAGAATTCAATTAAGGGACAGGGGTTATTTGCATGTATCGCCATTATTCATCGGCGATAGTGGTAGCTGGTAGTAACTCAATGCGAAATCAGCAAAAATATATCATATCTGACGGAAAACTCCAGTTACCAAAACGAATCTCAGTCGTAAAAGACTGCGTCGCTTCACAAAGTGTTTGATATTGAATGATGGGTAACTTTGTGTAATCGATGAGCGGAGTTCAAATGTCCTGGTAAGCCACACGCCTTGCAGTGCGATACTGCAGTTTTACGGGAATGAATTTCTGCTGCTTTTAACCGGGAGTCACAAAGAATAAATGTCAGTGTCCCAACAAGAATCGAACTCAAGCATTCTGCGTGGTCATCAAGCGTTACACCACAGAGCCACGCCGAATTTCGGAACCACTTTTGAAATAGACCCTACTGTTCTTGAAAAGTCAATTGCGGTTGCAGTGCTGGGGGCTATCCAGATTTATGATCATTGCATGTTTACTCTTATAATACAGCCGTCATGTCGAGTTAACGTCAATTGTAGTTAGGTGCCATGCGCTAAAGATGAATTATGTAGCAGTGTTCGGGGCTACGATTCTCGCGAGCACCAGCGCTTCCTATCAGCTTATCGCTTCGGGTGTTGCTAATACTAACTGTCCTGTTGGCATTGTGGCGCAAGTGCAAAGAACTGGTTACACAAACATCTGCAACTCTTCAACATATGTCTGTGCGTGCAACATTTATACATATATTTATGGTCAGTTCGTGACGTGTCGCTCAATAGAAAAATTGCATAACGGTCACCTTCCCTCCGCGTGCTTCGCGTAACGTCGATTCTCTGGGTATACGTGAGGTCTGCGGATTCTTTTGTTGTTGTTGTTGTTGTTGTTGTTGTTGCATGTACGGCATATTGCGTTCGCTAAGCACGGAGTGGCCGGGGCTGCCACGAACGCATAGACTTCTTTTTTCATCATTTTAATTGAAAAAAATGTCATTTACCACGTGCCCTCTGTCATTGAACATAGTTTTCCTGTTTACACATTCACATCGTCTTATTACCAGGCGTCCCGCTTCACCATAGAACTCCTAAGGTAAATCGACTTCAGAAGAACCGGCCGAAATTGTTCGCCGACCTTCGTTCGCGGTCATAATGTGCTGGGCTTTGCGCGTCACCTTCGCAAATACGCAAGGTTTTGGCAAACCTAGATCGGGGGCCTCCCGCTCGGCCAATCTGGCTGATTTTTATGCATGATCTCCGCTGGGCCATGAGTGGGTCGTTTTATTCATTCCTCTTTTACTGCCATCACATTTTTTTTTTCACTGTTACTGTGAGCGCTTGGCACCTGTCTTTAACAGTTTATGCAAATGGGACAGCACGATGCTTCCTAATTATCATCCAAATTGAATTTCTCGCGTCTTCTTGTTTGCTCGCTCCGATGGTATCTTTTAATTCGTTCTTACTTCTTCGTTTCACACGTAGTTTCATCCAATTCCAGTCAAATGTATCAGTGCAGCTGTCTTGCATTATCTCCGGGACTCAAACCGATAGCTACATGTGCTCTAAACTGAGCGTTAGAAATTCGTTTTCTCGTTGTAGATAGTGAATGGCAGCCGCCATGGTGACATAGTGGTCATTGCACTATTTAAAGGGACTATCCACGCGCTATCTGCACAGCCGCACTAGCCGCACCGCACGTGGAGGGATTCCTGCCGCACGCACTGCAGGCGAAAGAGCCTATCGGCGACGCTCTTCCACTCTCCGCTTTCGTGCGGCAGAGATACCGCCACTTGCGGTGCGGCTGTGCTGATAGCACGTGGATATGACTATGCGTTCTGGTCAGACCTGCCTATGCTGGTGATTCAAGCACGAACTCGTAGAACGAACTGTAATGCGCAAGTACAGAACAATCGGGCCAGTAGCAGAACGTATCTGTGCAGTACCTCCACTGGCTCGGACCGCTATATCTGTGCGGAGCGGAGTGTAAGCGACGTTCAGTTAACCCCCGTATTCACAAACGCTCCTCGACTCGACGTTCACCCTTCACTTGACACAGTTGAGCCCTGCGTCGCTGCTCGGCTGCAAATGACGCTGTGCTGCTCGAGAATCGCACCATATTATCGCTGATATGCAATGACTTACCATGCCTGGAGAGGACGCTTCCATCGGCTTTTTCAAGTGAAGGTGAAGCGCTAAGTGAAGGAACCTTCTAGAATACGGGGGTAAAACTGCTGAAACAAAGGTAGCAAGACCAAATTCCCGCCGCAACGGCCGCATTTTGATGTAGGCGACATGCTAGAAGCCTGTATGCATAGATTTAGACAGATGGTCGAGATCATTCTACAACGGGGTCCATGATAATCGTATCCTGGTGTTGGGATGTAAGACACGACGAATCACTATTTTGACATTCACTGACCGTGGTGCGATCCAGCGCCGGGTATCCTCCGGGGTATGTCCAGCGCCCACTGCTCGGCCGTTTTTCGGCGCAGGTGATCCCACTCTCGCAGCGGGTCCAGGAACGGGGGCCGCTGGCCGAATGCACTGGCAAATGCACGGAACTGCTGCTGTTGACCTGCGCAGAAAAAAAAAGGAAGACCCACTCGTAACGTGTATATTATAAACGAAGATCAAATTGATATAAGCGTTTGTTCCGATCAAGAAATTTCCGCAATGTTCGCAATTAAGCGCTGATGAGAGAGAGAGAGAGAAGAGAGATAATAAATTGTAGAGAAGGAAGGGCAGGTTAAAAGAAAGGCAGGGAGGTTAACTGAAGGAAGGTGCCTGTACTTATGAAGGGAAAAATAACTAAGGCGTTTCTTTCTAAGGAATCCGTACGCATTTCCTTGTGCACCATGGCTTCGTGCTACAAATGGGTGGTAGCCTTCTTTCCCTTTCTTAAGAATAGCTTGCGATAGTAGGTGACAAAACAAACAAAAGTCAGGATTGTAGCACTGTCCAAACACTTCACAGCAGTAAAGTAGCAAATTGGGCTGGTTCTAACATACTCATCACGATCAGCGCACAAACAAGCACAAAAAACACGTCGGGCTGTGCTCGAAGAAGTTGCACGTTCGTGTCGTGCACTTTCTTGTGCTTTTTGTGCGCTGCTCGTGATGACTGCACAGCAGCATTGCCTGAGAACAGTCACAGTTCATCAGTCAGTGCGGCTGATTGAGGAAACCGCGACAACGCCCTCAGAGCGGCTTGTCTTGAAGACCGAGTACGAGTCAGTGCCCCAAGGTTTTGTTATCTGTGAAAGGGTGGTTGTCCACTTGGCCTAGGGTGGCTTCTCAACCGCAAGCGCTGAGTGCATCTGAACGATTGATTGCACTTGGACTATATACTATACGCATGGAAGCAGAGTATGTGGCATTGTTAATGCTGCACGTAGCTGTTATAGTGATCGTATTTATATGCACATGAATTTGCGCAGTGTGTCTTTGTACAATAATTCTGCGATTGTATATGCAATGTGCATGCCAACTATGGTGTGTATACTATAGTACGCAGTACGAAACGCGTAACTTGCACGCAGCTTGTGTAGGGTACAAGTCTGGTTAATATTTATACTTTCAATGGACTTTTTTGTAGCCTTTCCCCGCGGGCAAGTGTAAGTGAGCGATGTGGTACGACGTCTCGTACATCAGTTCTTGCTGAAACGCGAGTTTTGCAATGGCATCAGGGCTATCAAAGTTACTCAAAATATCAGATGAATAGAAATATTATGCGCGTTCAATGAATTGCAACTACGAAAGGAAACAGAATGGTTGATGTATACGTTCGTCAGTTAACAGGTTCGTTGTGTTTGTTGGTTTAACATGTAATACTTACATTATTGCATTTGTCTTGTCTATTCCTAGTTGTGTTTAGTTCTTTGTGCAGTTTTGCTTTCGTTTAGTACGTCGCGAACATAAAATTTAGTAGCAGGTTGAAATAAACACATGCCTTATCTTATCCGCTGGTTTGCGTTGCTTAGGATTGATGAATTCAGTCATTAATTGATGATAATTTATGCGTTTATATCACTCAAACACGGTAAGTTTGAGTGATATAAAGGTGTTACCATTTTGTTATTTTCTCTTCAAGTGCTTACTGTAGCCGAACAATTAACGATTGTACGTGTACCAAATGCCACAAAATTTGGGGTCAGCGCACCCAAATAGGTTACAGCAGTAATGAAATAGCTCCTAGATGAGTTTTCAACTATCAGTAGTCGCTCCCCAGTAGAAACTTCAAATACATCACCTCTGCTGCTCGCCGAATCGCGCACCTCAGGATTTTCAATGAAGTTTTCCAACCATTCATTCATCTCTTAGATGAGGGTCACAGGATGAATTGAGCCCAATTGCATTCATAGATTTCCATTGGCTTTTCTTGTAACTCACGCCCCCTAGCAACAGACACGCGCTGTTGACAAACAATCCAGCTATTGGGAAATGTCTTTTTTTTTGTTCATTTCACTGCCCTCTTTGCATGGGCACTTGCGCTGTCGTCCTGCGGAGGTGCTCCGCTGAAGGTCAAGTCCACAGCTGTCGTACGGATCCGTGGATACCCTCATGGACACGCCCTCAAGGGCACGGTACCACGCAACGCTTATTTCCATGCATTTGACTTGCGCTGCGGTGCCAGTCTACGCAGTATAACTCTTTGCAACACGCAAGCACACCTCCCATGCCTGCGAACACATAGTCCTTGAGGCTATAAGTGTTTCGCGATGCTCACGTATTCAAAAGCAACGCTGATAGCGACCTACAGTGCGGTTCGGTGATACGTCTGCGCCTTTTCGAGAGAGAGAGAGAGAGAGAGAGAGAGAGAGAGAGAGAGAGAGGTAGATCAGGCGTGCGGCATTGGCGATAGCCCAGTTTCCACGTGGGATCAGAGGTGACGGCAAAAGCCACGATGTGTATGTTTGTTCCTGCGGTGTACCAGTCTGCGGCTTGAGACAGGAGCTGCCGGAAGATAAACAGAGGGGAAAGAGGGGGGGGGGTGCTCTTATCTTATTCTTATCTCTTGTACGTGCACCTCATAGCACCCGCAAAGATCTGGCACAGCAAGAGGTAGGACCCTGTAATGCATACCGGAGGAGACAAGTCTTTATGTGGGATGTGGGCAAACGTACAAGTCTTCAAAAGGGTAATGCAACACTTGGAAGCTTTCGTCAGCTCTTACGTTAGCTCAGAGTGCAGTGAACGGCAAATATGAAGCAGGTGCCAGCTTTGTATGCCAGCTTCTTGACGTGGACGAGCTCCTGTCTCCTTTGTTATTTGGGCCCGGTCTGAATTCACGCAGTCCATTTTAGAGTCGCATTTCACTATAACAGCCCCTGACGAAGTACTCTTAACAGGCGTGAATGTCAAGGCTGCAACACATCGAAGTATGCATAATAGAAACAGACACTGAAGTGTGATGTGAACGAGTAAATAGAGTTCCACGAGTGTTGAAGATTGGGCGAGTTGGTTCGTCGTACTTGAACTTGTATAACGCATTACGGGGAAGAAGAAACGGCCGAGCAGACCGACACTCTGTCGTCTTGTGTCGGTCTGCTCGGCCGTTTCTTCTTCCCCGTAATGCGCTATACAAGTTCGAGTAAATAGAGACTTTGGCGTGAAGTTATTGACGGGTGCGGAACATGTTAGTTGTAAATATTCGCACACGCACGCACAGACACTACAACTGAGGTCACATGCAAGACGCAAAATACAAATACATGTGTATAGTACACGTGCATGTGTGTGTTTACTCATTACGGTGAAGTTTGTGCCACGTTCGAGATGTAAATACCTTTATACTATATATATATTGTCTTTTGCACTTTGCATGTGGCGCATCTATAGATGTGCTCTTGATGCACATGTATGGAACTGCGATGCGCCCGTATACCTATTTGAATGCACATCACCAGACGTGTATTTTTCGTATGTCTGCCGCCCTTCGTCATTTCCGCGACCGCACTCAGTTCTCGAAGCACCACCACTCGTATACACAGCTGGAAAGCCACAAACCACGATTCCCGCTCGTTTTATCATCGCTCCCGAGTGGAAAACAAATACGGCCCGTGTTCTATCCCATGCGCGTCAGCAGCGGCAGGAACCTTTCGCTATCAATCGAACGTGAATGCCGGTCGGCCACGCACTTCGCGGGTCGCCTATGTGGACCGCGATAAGGTCGCGAGGCACAACTGGAGTCAAGAGGCTCCTTTGAGGACCCCTAGTCTCGCACACACACGCGCGTCTTCCTTTTGAGCTTGCACAATTTGGCCTTTTACTCAATGTCGTCTCTCGTTCATATTTATGTTAAGCTTGCCACCCCCCCCCCCCCCCCCCTTATAGTGGCATTCAGCCAATCTGCCTATCAGCGTTAATTTCGCAATGCCTTTATAGATCCCGGCAAAAATCTGTTTTTCCTAATAAAGAGTCTCTCCCTCTCTCTCTCGCAATGCCTCTGTACACATCGTTTCCTATCGGAGAGGTGAAATACGATGCCAGCCTTATTTGTATAAACTTTTAAAAGAAAGAGTTTTCGCTATCGGAAAACCTTTTTATGTGAAGAAATGAGGACAAAGAGAAAAAAAAAGAACGAGGCAAGCCACATTGATAGCTTTAGCTAGAAATCATTGCGCAAATGCATACGATAGTTTTGAATTTACTATAGCCATGGAGTTGATACCGAAATAAAGAGAGATGACAATAAATTGTGATAAAGATTTAAGTGATTAAGCTCTGAAAGGTTTTTAAAAATGCTATCTTCTGACTGTTTATGTCGGCCGCTATCCTTTGTATGACAATGTTTAGTGCATGTTTCGTACTTAAGGAAAGAAATGACATTTCGGAGATTAAGTGAGTGCATGTTTACTTATTTGTTTCACACAGTCATTAAGGCTCTTCCCAGAACTCGTACCAGCGACGTGAAATCTGCTTGAAATACCTGCAAAGAGCATTCATTACCTTGGTCATCGATTTCTCTTTCTTCTCAAGAAGTTGTTATAAATTGCCGACACCAATAGCAGCCGTAGAACACCGATAGAATGGGTGCCTTTATTCATAGTGGTATGGTCGAAATTTCCGGAGCCCTCCACTACGCGTCTCTCATAATCATATGGTGGTTTTGGGACGTTAAACCTTACATATCAATCATTCAATCATAGTGGGTGATCTGAGCTAGCTCTTGAAAAAATAATCGCCTGGTATTCCTGTCATATAAGCTGCACATTCAGATTGCCTATAACGTTTAACCTGTAATGCTTAGGAAAGAGAAATATACCACGTGAACCAGCCACGAACAAGACGTACATAGCCGTATAACAGCGCTATAAAAAGCTAATTTCAGTAAAAAAAATAAAACAGTCACCCTACAGTATGCGTTTCTATCATCTTGCTTTGCTTTGTTATGCGCATCATTTTTCTCTCTATTTCCTGAATGTTATAAATGTTCTCCCAGAAAGAGATTCATTCAGGTCTATCCACTGCTGGCTATAAAGGTATAAAATAGTAATTGAGATGTTGTTGTTGTTCTTGTTGTTGTTGTTGTTGTTGTTGTTGTTGTTTGTTGCTTACTCACGTCTTGGCTCACGGGGTCCGTCAACGGTAACCTTGATGGCCTTGGCATATGTGGCCACTTGTGGAGGATTGGTGCTTAAGGTGATGGTCAGGGTGAAGCTCTTGCCTGCGCCATAAGAATAAGGGCGGAATAAGAGATCATGCCATGCTTTCAAAACCAACGTATTAAAGCGATGGTTGACGTAATCGAAAAAAAAAACCAAGCTGCTCACCGTCAACCCCAAAAGTTCACGACGGCTCAAGTCTCACTATCGATGACAAATTGTATAATAAACAGCGTTAATTGCGTGGCCGCCTTTAGTATAACGAATCACTTCGCAGGTCGCTTAGGATAATGCACTCCATAGCTCCATAGACCTACTCCATGTTTCTAAACGAGGGTAGGCGCAGCTAGTCGACATACTGAGGCGCTTGTAGCGACGTCATGGAGCGTAGGCTCCGCCCAGCCCAAAGCTCATTTCCCCCTCTAGGATAACGTGACAACTGGCACAGCAGGTGGAAAGCTGCCGCTCACGCGAGGCTCACCGACGCGCTGTTGCTCGAGGCAGCTTTGCAGCTTCTGCGCCAGTTGTAACGTGATCGTTGAGGATGCTGGTGAGCTTTGGGATGGGCGGAGCCCACACTCCGTGACGTTGCTACAAGCGCCTCAGCATGTCGACTGCGCCTACCCCCGTTTAGAAACATGGCATTGGTATATATATTTGCGCACTTGCTGTCTTACCTTCCTCTGTTCTTGTTACAGCGCAGTCAAACCATTGCAAAATGAACGAAAACCAACCAGCTCAACGCATGGCACTCTTCTGTTGAAAAGAGTCGAAACATTAGTCCAGTGCAGGCGCTATCGGCGATGTCCAAGATTTTTTATATTCGGGTTGTCTGATAGGAATGATCTTTTTAGAGCACAACTGTTAAATGGTGGATTTCTGTTAGTAAACAGAAAACAACCATCACTCGGTACAGTCGGCTAACAAGAGGAGCAGCAACGTGTGGCCTCTAATCTGATTTTGCTGCTCGTGTGTTCCTTGATTGAGTGATTAAAACTTCATTTTGGTCCCGGGAAGACGCCATCTGGCTAATTCCACGTAGGGTCCGTCAAGCCGAGCTTGGCGGCCCATTCATGGGCACTCTGGACGGCCCTTGTAAATTTTCAGCGGATCAGTGGTGCGAGTATAATGAGACTCGCCCAATTTCTGCGGCACATACTACGTGCTATAGCTTTACAACAAAGCTGTTATGATCTTGATATGTGGCGGGAACAGAAAGAAAGAGATAGAAAAACACAGACAAAAATAAAAAATAATAATTTAGAAGAAACATACATTCATGCATCAAAGTCACGGCCGCTGGACAAAAATCAAGCTGTGGCCTGCGGGTCTATAGTTCGCCTCGTGCCCGCTATGGCGCCAAAACTCCTCCTATAGAGAAACGCTTTCATACGTGTGACTTTCCATACGCGTGACGGCGACTCCAATCAGGCCGTAAATAATGCGTTTTGTATGATATAGTATAGAGAAGCAAGTTATAGGAGAGAAACAGGCTGGAGGGTAAAAGCCTAGCCAAGTCATGGAGGACGAGCTATAGGTGCCCACCGACTCTGCTGCAATTACAGCCTTGCGCGATTCGGTGCAAGCTGTGCCGATTTTTGTTTTGGTTTGTTCTTTTCGCTCTCCCCTGAGCTAGCTTCTGCGGGCAGTGTCACGCGCACCACTTTCCAAGGTTAGCGCCCCGTGTTCGCTTCGCCTGCCGCAGAGCACTTACCGGGCTCGGACTCGTTTCTCATCTCGTTTTATGCACACATAACCCCCGTGCACCACTCTGGCCTCCCCGCATTAGAGCCGAGGCAGCAGCAGCAGCAGCAGCAGCAGTAAACTGCTCTCGACGTTCAAGTTTCTCAGCTTTCTGGCTCGGCAACCGCGTTGCACTAATTTCTCTTCATTGTTTTTTTTGTTATGGTTTTATTTTCCTAAAATATGCCTAGTGTCGGGTGCTAAGTAGAAAGATGAACACAAAAACTTGCTCGCATGGCTAAAAGAACATGCCCTTTATTTGATTTCTTCGTTTCTAAAACACTTTGGCTCTAGCTGCCGGGAAGCCTTGATTCTAAGCTCTTTCACTATACGTCGTTGCTTAAGTGCCTGTATTTTTTTGCTTCCTCGCTCCTTTTTAGGCCGTCTTATGAAAGCCAGCTTACGTCTTTATTTCGCTATGTCACTCCCTACCTTCTTCGAGTCGTTGATTGCTGCACCTTTTATGCCTTACTTTTTTTATTCGCTTCTTTTGTCCGTGCCTATGGAGTGATTTGATATTTGTAGAGTTTTTCTCCTGCAGGTACATAATTTTTTAATTCACTATTTCTTTGAGTACCTGCTTAGAAACCGGCCTGAAAGCGCACTCGTGTTTTTTTTTGTTCAATCAATCAATCAATCAATCATTAATGAGTTAGATTATACACTAACATGTACCAGACAGAGCAGACAAAAAAGGAAATTAATGCGTGGCAAGGTGCCGTCACCCATCCCAGTCAATAAAAAAAAACAAGGAGCAGTAATGTTAAAACACTATTTAACAAAGAAGTGGTGTCAGTTTCACACTTTTCATAACAGTTCATAAAACATCGTCAGAAAAACACTGATGCTTTGAGACCTGTCTGTAAGACTGAATTTATAGTAATGTGTTGGGCAATATTTTTTTCAGACACAAAAAAAAAACAAGAAATGTGTAGAAATACCGAGACTTTTTAAATAACAGTCGTGCAATTACAACTCACTAAACTGAAATGCGACAGATGTTTATGCTCTTCAATTTTTAACAAAATGCTGTGAGATTTCATAAGGAGAGAAAAATTATTTTTGAAAAATTGCTAGATGTGTGTGTGTATTTTCATTTAAACGCTATTACTGAGTGGCTCTCTTTCACAATGGTGGTAATTGCGTGATGTGCATTGAACAGGTTCATTGGAATTGCAATGTAGAAAACTAGCTGTTGAACAGTACTCTTTAAAAATACCTGGCTAATTCTGTTCAGTTACTAACACATTAGTATCGATAGTATCTACCATGGAGTTCAAGCAAACATGTTAAAGCCATGAATAAAGTGCGAACTAGAAATCGCTCGCTGGATTTCGTGCCGACCGGTTGTGCTCCCACGATCTCCGACGACAGTGCAGCTCTGGCCGACTGACTCGCCCTACTCCATCTTCTGCCGCCGACAAGAGGTCTCGCTGACTGGTGCCCCGTCCTCGGACTTGTGCGACCGTGTCCATCTTTCCTAACTTCTCCTTACTTCCGTATGTGGCTGTCCCTGCGCCTCTCTCTCCTCCTGCTCCTCTCCCTATTTCTATACCTTTAATTCCTCTCCTTTTTAATCCCTCCTTAACCCCATCGCTCGTGAGCTACTGTTGAGGTGTCCTCCCCCGGAGAGACAGTTACGGGGCTCACGTTTATCTTCTTTTCATTTATGAATCACCCCGCCCCCTTCCTACGGGCAAGTCAAAGAGGTTAATATCGGGCTTGAGAGCATCTATGGTTCACCGCGGTGGAACAGTGGTTATGGTGTTCGGGTGTTCACCCAAAAGTCAGTTTTGATCCGGGCCGCGTCGGTCGCATTCAGATTCGAAACGCTAGACGATCGTGGATTGTGTTATGTCCGCTTATTAAGAACACTAAGTGACTGAACTTTCCAGAGCCCCCCCCCCCCCCTCTCCCATTATGGTATCGCTCATAAGCATACTTCTTAATTTATGGGTGTCCATGAATCGAGGAAGGATTATCCGGCTTCCGAAGCTTTGTCATAATTGATAGCTAAATGTTTAAAACGTCGCGCAGTAATACCTCCTGTGTCGCAAATGTAGAAGAGCCAGTTTTTTTTTTTTTTCATTTCGTTTCAATGCTTCTCCCGGAATCCCACGATTTCTGGACACGTTAGGTACGACAGTTACTGTGCCTGGTATATACAGCACGTTTGCATTTTGTAGTTTTCAATATATCTCGCGTCATTTAATGCTATTTGCTTGATGTCACCTGCCCTGCAAAAGAAAAGAAAAAGCGATGATGGATATATTTTAGTACACGCCCTTGAAGCATGTCCCGATCTTTGGGTATCTTGCAGTGTTTTACATTGTCGTCTTAATTTAGAAAGAGCAACTTCTTTGACGATTCAAGCAATGTGTTTTTCTCAGTTTCACTCACTTGTGTGTCAAGTCATCAATTTTATGTCATGTCATGTGACTTGCAAGTAATGAGATTTTTTGTTAATACTTTTCATCTATATTAGTCACATAGTAACATTACATCGTACCAATTTTAGTAGATATCCTGTGAATGAAACGGCCGCAAGCACACCAGGAAGATTACATATAAATCATGCCATAAATGGCATACATGCCATAATTTCTAATACCTGCTCTTTATGCTGGTCATACACTCACAAGCCTCGCTATTTTTGGCTTCAAACAAAGAAACGGCCACGAGAGCGCTATTATTGTAGCATAAATATCATACCGTTCGTGATATATGTGTAGCGAGTTTAATGTTACGACCTGTCGTTTATATTTTTCATTCAGTCATGTCAGCCAATGCAATTTCGGAATTTCATACCTTCATATCTGTATGCCAAACACAAAGATATCATATAATATATTATTGTAATTAACCCAAAGTCCTCATTAATGAGAACAATAAACAATAAAAACCAATAATATGAAATTGTTATCTACCACTTTATCGTGACTGCTCACATTGAAACACTCTCTGTACTGTACTACATATGAGAGCTTCCTCCCATAAGTTTAAATAAATGTTTACGTTAGTGATAATTATTTATTGCAATTATTAAATTCCTGATGCTTCATATACCTAATGTGCATCCCATCTGCAGACTTTTGCTGAGGTTTCATTATGGTCGAAGTCCACTTTCTCATCAATATACCGGCAGGGGATTCTTTTATTCCTGTATAGCTGCTTTTCTGCACTATTGATCTGGAAAAGCTCTTCAGAAAAAATCCACCCAGCGTAATCCCACGAAATTACGAACACGAAAACAAGTTGTCCTACCGTACACACCACTAAAATTAAATGGGCGAATAACTTACCGTTGTACTACAATTAG